GCAGCATTTCAAATCACAATTACAGCTATTATAATTTTAATTCTATAATTATACACAATTACAATTATAGTTATGAGAAATAAGTGCCGGAAGGATTATTTATCTCACTGCGCTAGCAAAAATTATTTTAAAAATTAGTTAACCGTTATTTTTCCGAAGAAACAACAATGATATGGATACAAAACAGTTACTATCCGTATAGATATGAAATTCATATGTGCAAAAATAAACGGTGCTAAGAAAAGTTACGAGAATGTGTTTCAAGACTGTAAAAAAGGCTACTATTTTCATATGTTCTCAAAATATGATATTTTTTATTGTCAGTATATAATTATATAATAATTATAATTATATAATATAATAATTTATAGAACAGAATATATGCCAAAAATACAATATTTTGTTATTCGAAAGAATAAGTATGTAATAGAAAGAAAAAGATACGTAATATCATCAGAAATAAAGAAAGACATGTTAGATAAAATAGTTGCAATACATAATCAAACCACGCACAAATTGGTAAATATATTGAATAGTTGTGCAGGCTGGAGCGTCTCGTGACCCGCATTCCATGCAAGGCTTGCATTGCTGACTTCTACGGCGGTATTTCCTGCCACAAACTTTCTCACTTCATCTCATCCATTGCCGCGACGTATGAATTTGCATTATATGCCGAACTTCTTGAGGTCTCATATCTCTGCTGAACTTTCTCACTTCATCTCATCCATTGCCGCGACGTATTAATTTGCATTATATGCCGAACTTCTTGAGGTCTCATATCTCTGTTGCCTTCGTCTCCGTACTTTTGCCGAAAGTTTTGAGCGGCGTTCGGACACGCTCAGAAAAATTGATAGGTCGAATTGTCCGAATAGTGACACAATCGCTGCAGGTTAACCCATATTCTGGACCAAATTCGGTCAAGACAACCCACACAAGGGCATACAGTGAATCGTTATTTGGACAAAGTGTCACTCATTTCTCCGAGTGCAGTGACGCTTCTTGCGCGTGATATTCGCTTCTTTGCTTGCGGTTAAAGGCAGATTGCTCGGAAATTCTTGCCGTGATTTTGAGCTTTGCGATCATCTAAACTTTTTAGGCAGGCGTTATGCGAAATTAAGTGATGCAATATTATTCAATCACGCATAGTAACACACGGTGCCTCATGCATAATTTTTGAACATTTCTGCTTCTGATATCACGTTATACTTTTCAACATTTTTCGTATCCATATCTTGATTATTATTATTATATTATATTTCGTATCCATAACTTGATTATTTTTCTCCTCTCGGGAAGGAAGAGATTACTTGAGCCCCTGGGACGAGGGCCCCCAAGCTTGACGGTTAATAAACCAAAGAGGATGTTTTGCTTCTAATTTATTCCGGCAAGATCTAATTAACAAGATTTTTAATTGGAATTTACGCCTATTTTCAAACCAGGGAAGAAACGCTTGCTGATGTGTCTTTTTTTATTAAGAATTTTTTGAAATAAATAACTGCAATCGTTGCTGCATTTACGCGGCAGGATTTGATATAGGCTTTGTAAACACAAAATTCGATCATGCCCATCATTGGCAAAAATCATCGTTCGAAAATGTTCATCATTTGAAAATACTCATCATTCGCTAATACTCATCATTCGCTAATACTCATCATTCGCTAATACTTATCATTCGCTAATACTTATTATTCGCTAATACTCATCATTCGCTAATACTCATCATTCGCTAATACTCATCATTCGCTAATACTCATCATTCGCCAATATTCATCATTCACAAAAACTCATTAGCTAATAATCTAATATTTTAGTAGCAGATAGAGAAGCACATCCTAGTTTATTTATCTAGGCATGAAGCTAGTTGCTTCAATCAAATATTGAAATTAATTAACTCAGAAGGGGCCAAGCTTTTAATTTTCTTCCGTAGTCTGCCGCTTCTTGAGAGGAAAAGTAATTATTTACCTACCGATTCTACATGTCTGCTACAAGTAGGGTGTTCACTGCATTATTATTATACACTATTGTTTCATTGATATTAAAAATAAATTAGTACCGCTACATAAATATTTACCGCCATTTGCAAAATAATAGCTACATTAGTGAGACACACAGATGAATTTCTTCAGGCTCATATAGCTTCGCACAAGAATGAAATGTCTATATTTTGGAGAAATAACGTATACCAAAAAAGACAATTTATTTATGGGCTCCATCTATGCAGCAGCATGTATCACACATACTGTTATGCATAACAACAAAAACGTTAGTTAAACATGCCAAGACTTACTGACGCCATTTTGGCCAGCAGTCAGGCCAAAAAGGTCGACAGAACATTTGCAGACTCTGTGTGCTATAATTTTTACGACAATGAATGTGGACAAAACATTTCCAGACTCTTGCCGCTATCGTTTTGTCCAGCGGAACAAAGTAGTTGTGCTGCCGACCCGTCATATCCCGTGCCGCATTAATGTGTCAGGCGCAATTACCGATCTTTTGGCAGAACTTCGGCAAAATCGACGTTTGGCTAATAAGTGGGACTTGCTTCATCATAACTCGCGGTAAACCCACGTATGTCGTCCGCAGATCATGGCCAGAAAGTCCTGAGAGCGGGACATGAAAGTCTTTTCTGTTTTCCGTGTCCCACGCTTCTAATTTACGTAAATAATGCTTTTTATCAATGCTACAACATGCATTATTAGTCGTATTTGTTAAAGTCTTGATGGGTGCGAGATATTATTGGTTTTGGTTGCTAGATTTTATTCAAAACTTTTATTCGTTAAGACAAGATGACAATCACCGTATTGTTCTCCGTAGAAGGAGACTCCTTTGTTAGAAAATTCCAAAACTGAGATGCACTCATGGACGTTTCCAACAATTATCCGAACAAAGACTCGATTACAGATTTTTTCCAACCGTTCCGCAGCTTCATCCATATTGCAAATGGCAATTACGCGCATGAATTATTTTTTTCCAACTTTTTGTCGGGGTTGGCAATCAGTTCACCCCAGTCGACGTTGAGCGCGTGTTTATCATAGAAAACTTTTAAACTCCAGATTTGCGGTGTAAAACTCGGGCATATCGATTCCAAAAGAATCGGTCTATCCATTTAAATTTGAATTAACTCATATCAAGGTCAATTCTATTTATTTGAGAAAACAAACCCAAACACAGAAAACATTACGAATAACCTTAAAAATAGTGCGGGTAATGGAACTTTAATTAACAGGTTTAGAAATGAACGTTCAATTACGTTGATGGGCTACATACAGTTTGCCAAGGCCTGTTTGCGGAAGATCGCCCATCCGATCACAATCAAATATGATGAAACGTTCGTCCTGTATAATGAATCAAGAAATAAATGATTGAATTTGATGAATCATTAAAAAAAGCACATATTGAAATTGCTTAAGTAACGAAATTTTAATGAGAAGAGTCATACGCTGATCTTCGATGGTTTACGGTTATCTCATGAAGTAGATCGGTATGTTTTAGCAGCTCAGGTTTAACAGTGGAGTTCGATCGGCAGTAGGAGTGCGCGAAAAGTTTGTGTACCTTTAAATCAATCATACCTGTACTTAAACTCACTAAACAATTACTACACAAATATTTAAATAAGTACTATCAGTCGATTAAACCTTCATCAGGAAATTCAACTATAGTGGCCGAGGTCTGGAACTCTACATCCACGATAGACAAAGGATTACTGTAGTTATAAATACAAAATATTTTACGTATGAAAAGCACGGACTTAAACCGAGTAATATTTCATCGCATAAATGGGAGTTGTTAGTGGACTGAAGGGCTTTAATTGCTACATGGCCGCAGCAATGAAGCGATGGTCAGTTTGTGTGTTTTTAGGCTTAGGTCCATTCATTGAATGGCCGCTGCAAATTGCACGCTCATCCGCCTTGCAATGAAAGGCTGGTGAAGGTATTTGTAAGAAAAATAGGATCCGTGATTGATTATTAAAAAATCGCGAGAGTGCATCGGGAAAAATATAAATCTGTGTTTTTTTGAAAAGCATACGCTGCATGTGGTCGAAATAAAACCTGTTTCTTAAAGCAATTAATTAAATCAAACAAGAAGAAATTTTTACATTAATTATATTTTTAAATCATTTAGCTTCCCCTGAAATCTCGACCTCCCTGTTAAGAATACGAAATTTATAGCAATCGTAATTATTATTTCTTAAATATTATTTTACATCCAATAGATTTTCAAAATTAATCGAACGGCTTCAAGGTTTAGCGCTTCCTGGTAAGAAAATTTTCTAATTATATAGAACATAATTTCACTTCATTTGCATTCTGAACTGAGCAAATGGCTTCAGACATTATACAAGCTTCTTTTCAAAAATCCTTATACATTAGGTGGCGGAAAATATTATTTCACCACATTTACATTCTAAACTAATAAAAATTCTTCAGATATTTTTTTTTGTTAAAAAATCTTCAAATAAGTAATGTTAAAGATATAACCTTAAAATTTAGTGGAGGGAAACATAACTTCACTTTATTCGCTTTATAAATTAATGGAATGGTTTTAGAATGTAAGTTTCCTGTCCATAAATCTTTGACAACAATTTAATAGTGAATATTTTATATCAAAATTAATTGGCTGAAAAACGTAATTTCACTTCAGTTGCACACTAAACCTATAACAATATCCTTAAGACATGTAGGTAAAAATTTTCTATTAAAATATCTTCAAAAAATTTATTTGTGAATATCTAATATTAAAATATAGTGAAAGAAAAACATAATTTCGTTCAATTGGCGTTCTAAACTAATCAAATTCGTTATCTCTTTTGTTTATAGCTGAAAAATGTTCAAAAACTCACTGTTGAATGTTCAATATTAGAAAACCAAGTGAAAGAAACAAATAATTTAACCTCATTGCCACTTTGATCAAAAATAATCAAAAACTCGCTGTTTAATGTTCAATATTAGAAAATTAAGTGAGAGAAACAAATAATTTAAGTTCATTTGACTTTGGTTCAGCGGCCATCAAGCCCCCGCCGCCCCCTGGCGTGACGCTGCCGCTGCTGCGAGGCTCCACGGCCGCCATCGTCGCAGGGGCGACCACGGGCTTCCTGCTCATGGTCATCACCGTCGTCATCGTCATGAAGCTCATCGTCGCTGGCAGGACAGCAAGGAACAGGGACAAGAAGACGCATCATGGTGAGTGTGATGTGCTGTATGGTGAGTGTGATGTGCTGTATGGTGAGTGTGCCACGGGCTTCCTGCTCATGGTCATCACCGTCGTCATCGTATGAGTGTGATGTGCTGTATGGTGAGTGTGATGTGCTGTATGGTGAGTGTGCCACGGGCTTCCTGCTCATGGTCATCACCATCGTCGTCGTCATGAAGCTCATCGTCGCTGGCAGGACAGCAAGGAACAGGGACAAGAAGACGAAGCATGGTGAGTGTGGCGTGCTTTGTGATAGTGACGTGCTGTATGAGTGTCGTGGTGTATGATGAGTGTGACGTGCTGTGTGATGTGACTTGATGTATGGTACCTTGATGATTGTCTACCTTAGGAACTCCCTCGCAAGAAGCACTGTAGAATTGAGATAGAAATCTGGAAACGATGATGGCTTTGTTGAACACGTGCTACTTCACATAAAAGAATTTGACTCGTGCGTGGCCATAGTCTATAGACCGCCTGCTTGTCCGCCGGAAAATTTAAAAAAAAAACCCTTAAGGAAATAGAGACCAGGGTGGCTGAACTGGGTGACCCAGCTCCCAGTCTGATAATTGGTGGGGACTTCAATCTCCCACGAATCCGTTGGACAAGCCCTGGCGGCTTGGAGGTCGATGACCGCGACACAAGTCAAGAAGCCCAACTTGTGAAGTTTGCTGCGGAACACTTGCTCAGTCAGCAGGTACGGTCGCCGACAAGAGAACACAATATTCTCGATCTCTTCTTTACCAATAATGAAAGAATGGTGGTTGACTTCCGGGTTGAAGATACCTCACTGTCTGACCATCGCTTAGCGATGGTGGAAACTACAATTGAAATTGAAACCCTGATAACGGAGGGAATTATCCCTGAGGGCCTCAAAGTGGGACTGATAACTCCAATCCACAAAGGAGGTCCGAGGGACAGACCCCAAAATTACAAACCTGTGACATTGACCTCACATGTGATCAAGGTTTTTGAGAAGGTAGTGGTCAGGAGGCTTGTCCGGTATTTGGAAGAAGCTGACCTGTATAATAACGGACAACATGGTTTCCGGAGTAATCGCTCCAGTTTGTCGCAGTTACTGGAGCACCATCACCGTCTTGTGGTCCAGCTGGAAGAGGGAGCTGGCGTAGACGTGGTATACCTAGACTTTGCTAAAGCTTTTGAAAAAGTTGACCATGGGGTGCTCTTTAGGAAGCCGAGGCTGTAGGGGTAGGAGGAAACCTGTTGAGGTGGATCCACAGCTTCCTTACATATAGAGTACAAGCTGTCGCAATTGGAAACTCGGAATCGAGAGAAGCGAAGGTGAAAAGCTGAGTTCCGCAAGGCTCAGTGCTTGGACCGATCCTTTTCCTCTTCCACATTGCAGATATTGACTCGAAACTCACCCACGCATCTACATCGTCACTTGCGGACGATACATGAGTACTGATAAGATCACTTATGACCTAGACTGCGAGAGGTTACAGGATGACCTATCGTCAATCTACGATTGGGCCCTAGTGAATAATAATCAGTTCAACGGCCCCAAGTTCGAAGTAATGAGAGACAGAGTCCGCACAGAGATCGGGATGCCACATCGCTACTTGGTATCAGATGGCACAGAAATTGAGGAGAAGCAACTAGTTCGAGATCTCGGAGTTTTGATGAGTACTGAAGCCACGTACGATGCCCATATCGAGGAAATAGTCGCGCGCAGCCGGCAACGGATGGGGTGGATATGGCGGACATTTAGAACGAGAGAAGCAGCACCAATGATTACACTCTTCAGAGCCCTTTTGCTCCCCAATCTTGAGTATTGCTGCCAACTTTGGTCACCATTCAAGGCGGGTGCGGTGCGGAAACTAGAGGCAGGGCAGCGGACTTTCACGTACAGGATCAGCGGCATGAGGGAGCTAAACCTGAACCACTGGGGAAGGCTGAAACACTCGGGATTGTACTCACTGGAGAGGAGAAGAGAAAGGCATATCATACTGTACACTTGGAAGATAATAACCGGACTGGCTCCCAACTTTGAGAGTGAGACCTCCAGAATAGTGACACGTTACAACGAAAGGAGGGGGGAGACTGTGCGAGGTTCCCCCATTTACTAACCGAGCCGCGGCCAGAGTACAGACTCTCCGTGAGGGATCACTGTCCGTTGTAGGACCGAGGCTCTTTAATGCCCTGCCAAAAGAGCTGAGAGGAGGGGAGTTCACCCTTGCAACATTCAAGAGACGACGGACAATTGGTTGAGAAAGATCCCGGATTGTCCAGTAATGGGAAACTTCCCTCAGCAAGCGACAAGCAACAGCATCTTGCATCAGCTGGCACAAAGTAGGGCAAATATACGGAACACGTCCAACGTTGCATCCGGGACCCGAGGGCGGGGTGACCTGCCTAGCGACGACTCGGAGACGGTGGACGACGAAGGCGGCGCATCAGCGTGACCGGGGACTAGGAAGTCCCGAACTCATCATATGGTCATAAGGAACTCATCATAAGGACGTGCTGTGTGATGGTGACCTGGTGTTTGAGTGTGACATGCTGTGTGATAATGAGCTGGTGTATGGTGAGTGTGACGTGCTGTGTGATAGTGAACTGAGATAAGGTGAGTGTGACGTGCTGTGCGTTAGTGACGTGGTGAATGGTGAAGGTAACGTAAAGCATGGTGAGTGTGACGTTCTGTGTGATAGTGAACCGGTGTATGGTGAGTGTGATGTGCTGTGTGATGGTGAGCTGGTGTATGGTGAGTGTGATGTGCGGTGTGATGGTGGTTTGCATCATTATGCTTGATTTATGGTGACGCATAGCATGATGAGAACGTACAGCATTTAATAATGCACATTATGGTGATCACGTGCACCTTGACAGTGACGCACATCATTTTTGGACATGCACCTAATATTGACGCCAAAAATGGTGGCAATGAGCAGCAAGATGGTGACGTGAGGCATGACGACGAATATGACTTGCATCACAGTGAGTGTGACTTACTTCATTGTGGTGACATGAGGACATTGATGCAAGTGATGAGCATCACAGCGTGGTGTTTGGTGTTTTTGCCACCAACAGTAATGTGCTTATTAGGCCTCAACTACATAACCAAAATTAAACAATAAATTGAATAATTTTTATTATCGCCTACTACTTGTTTTCAAAATACAAGTTTATTGGTTGCTGACTGAGACTGGTTACTGAGACTGAGATAATATTACGTAGTGAGGTTTATAATATAACGAATATATCGTAAACAAAATATTTTAATATAATAATAAAATAATAATAATAATAATTATAATAATAATAATAACAATAATATTAATAATAATAATAATAATAATAAAAACGATATAAATTATTTCATGTCGTATTTGGTACAGAGTTCAGAGCACGAAATTAAGCTCATTGATGTTTGATGTGTCAACACATTCGCCTCGTTCGTTAACACATTCGCTCAGTCACCACCCTGTTTGCAGCCAATTAATCTCTCGTCAAATATCGCCCAGTTATCGCCCAATTATCACCCAATTATCGCCCAATTATCGCCCAATTATCGCCCAGTTATCGCGTGCTAATCAGTTCAGCAGCGAGACGCATCAGCGAGCTGCTGAAAACAATTGCGTCCGTTCTGTCTCTTAGAATAGCCGATTGTCTCTATTGTCAATGTGGATATTCTGATAATTGATTAGATAACGCACTCAGCTAATATTCTGATAATTCATTAAATAACGCACTTAACTAATATTCTGATAATTTATTAAATAACGCACTCAGCTAATATTCTCATAATTTATTATATAACGCACTTAACTAATATTCTGATAATTTATTAAATAACGCAATCAACTGATATTCTGATAAATTATCAAATAACACACTCAGCTAATATTCTAATAATTTATTAAATACCGCACTCAACTGATATTCTGATAATTTTTTGAATAACGCGCTCAGCTGATATTGTGATGGCTGATTAAATAACACTCTCGACTGATAAACTGGCGCTTGATTAAATAACGCACTCAAATTATAAACTATAAGGGAATTCTATGAGCATTTCTCTCAATGATAAACCAGCGAGCGAATTTTGCTCTTATTGTACCACTGAACGAATATTGCTCTTGTGAATCACTGAGCGTATTATACTCCTAGTGAGCCACTGTGCGAATCTTGTTCTTAGTGAACCATTGAGCGAATCTGCTCTTAGTGAACCATTAAGCGAATCTTGCTCTTAGTGAACCATTGAGCAAATCCCTGCTGTTACAAAACCACTGAGCCAATCCCCGCTGTTACTAAACCCCTGAACGAATTTTGCTCTCATTTTAATGAAATTTTGATGCAGGCCCGACTCTGAAGTAGGTGCCGCCTAGGACTCGGGGAGCACGTAAATTAGCCGCTCATGTCCGCTTCAGCTCGGGGTTTGATGGGCAGCTTCGGGCTGCTTGCAAGCTGGGTATGACTCGGCTCGACCAACAAATGTCATACTCTCAGGACACACTGAGAGTATTGACACTCTGGATATACTCTTATACTCTGAGAGTATTTACACACTCTGGACACGCCTGTCATTCTCTTAGGGCACACTCGTTATACTATCAGGTGACAATAAAGTTGGAAATGAGCAACTGACCAACAGCAAATTTCGACCGGGCAGCCAAGTAGGCCCAGAATAATTAAAATTATTAAATAATTAAGAATTAATTAAGCCGACTGCTGCGACTTTTGGGCAGTGGCTAAGGCAGTACCTTATTATTGTTAGGGTAGTGAACCACTGAGTGAATCCCGCTCCTAGCAAGATTCACGCCACCTGCTCTCAGCACCATATGGAAATGTTGCCCTCAGCAGCAAACGGGGCCGCTGCCCTCAGTAGCACATGGAGTCGTTGACCTCAGCATCATATGGAGCCGTTGCCCTCAGTAGCACATGGAGTCGTTGACATCAGTATCATATGGAGCCGTTCCCCAAGCAGCATTCTGAGCCGCTGCCCTCAGCGGAACATGGAGCCGCAGTCCTCAGCGACATATGAAGCTGTTGTCCTCAGCACATATGAAGATGTTGCCCTCAGTGGCATATGGAGAGCCGCTGCCCTCAGCACCATTTGTAGCCGCT